GCCATTGCACAGTTTAAGAAGCTGAAAGAAAAGAGCCCACATTTTTACAGCCAACACAGAAAGGCAACATTGTAAACTGATTATCAGAAAATTGATTCTGTGACCAAATCACTGGAACATGTTGCCATCAACTAAATTTGATCAATCTTTGTTTGCTCTGATGAAAAAAGTTTTCTAAGTTAAAAATGAAATATTCATATTTCACTCTTGGCTAGCATGATATCAAGAAGTTACTCAGAAATTAAATCTTAACTCTTTCCAGAAACAAATTTAAGTTCACAACTCAAGAAAGCAAATAGTTTCATTTTCATTGGCCTTAAAATGACATTTTTGAGTCATCTGATAATTTTGAGATTTGGCCAAGTCATGAGTAAACTAAACACTAAAAGAAAATGGTAGATTTTTCTTAATACAGAACAAAAGTAACTTTGCTTGAAGATAATAAACATTTAAGCTTCTGCATGGTCTTTCTGATATTTGCTTTCTTAAAATTATATCGCATATCTATCACCGATTCAAAGTCTCTTCAACACTATTTTGATCAACTAGTTTTCAAACATTTCAGTGTTAGAATTTAAAAGTAACATACTTACATTTAGCCATTTACAAATATCAGAAGTTAACTATTGGCTCAATATAACAATAAATTTAAAGAAAAATGTATATTAAATTTATGATTTTCTTAATTTCATAAGCCTATTAAAATGTTCTCAAAAATGTCCTGGGTCTTATTAAAAACTTAATATTGCATACTAATGTGTTAACATAGTTGAAACTTAAAATATATTATATTTTGCAATTAGAGATTAGCATAGTCTACTTCATCTTTGTTATTCACCCTACACCTTTCAAAAGAATAACTATTTGTCTGGAAAAATATGCGGTGATTTAAGAACTAAAAGGCCATCAAAATTAGAACAATGTGCTATTTTTGCTCTGTTGCCAATGTAAGAAGCCATTGCACATTTGGGTGTACCTTTGGTGTAACAGGCAGGTGTGTGGTATGCTGCTATGGCTGATCCATCCAGACTCTCAAGTTGAGACACAGGATACCAAAGTCAGCAGTTGCTTTTGTTTACTTTAGCTAAAGAGTCCATATGGACTCCGCCCAGGCCTGGGCGTCTCCTCATCCAGGGACACTTTACTGGGTACATTTAGTGGTGTTTCAAAGTCCACATGGATGACTTTACAGTGGTGACTGATTTCCTTTTTACAGAGCCTGACCTCATCTCTTGATAAATGAAATTTAAGTCTATTCAAAGCAGCTGTTTAGGGGAAAGTAGTTCTCCACTTTCTATTTAAATTGCTGTAGCAAACCACTCACTTGTTGATACATTTGAAAAGTACTACTTTTCACTTAACCACAGTTCCCAGTGAAATGAATCACCTGTAATGCTGATGTGATTCTTAGCCTGGGCCCACAAACTTTCTCAAGCTGTGTGGGTGGGTGAGTGTGTGCGTGTGCGTGTGTGTAACTGTGTTTTCTTTCAAGTAGAGTCACTGCTTTCCAGAAATTCCCAGTGGAACAAATAGATTCCAGAGCTAACCACCACTAACATGAAAATTAAAAATGAGAGGCCAAGGGCATAGCTGAGCAGCACAGCACCTGCCTGGCACGAGGTCTTGAGTTTGATCCCCAATACCATAAAAAAAAAAAAAAAAAAGAAAAGAAAAGAGGAAAAAGAAGAAGAAAAATGAGTATTTATCTTCCCTTTAGTATCAAGTACAATAACAAAAAAAATTGTGACTTTTGCTTCTTATGACCTTCCCTACCCCAGTAATCAAGAGCCTCCTCTCCTCAGGCTTCTGAGCTTCACTCCAATTGGTTTTGCAGGACTACAGCTCTGGGTCTTTGCAGGCAACTATATCTGACAAGAATTTAATGTTATTTTGTTCATGGTATTTCATTTGATGATAATCCTCTCTTTGGAGAAAATGACATTGGTTTTTAATTCGTAGTTAGAGGGAAAGTTTCCTTTTCAAATAAATGAATTTAATTTTTAAAAGAAAAAGTTTTAGCTCAGATGATACAAGGATATGACAAAATCATGGTAGCACAAAAATTATAGAAGCTTCAGAAATCCAGAACAACTGGTAATCAAGTTGTGCTTCTCTTTTTAAAAGAAACGACCAGAGTTTTGAAAACTTTGATTTATTTAGAACAAATATAGGTAACAATAGAAGTTCCTACTAAGCATTTTTAAATAACAAATGTGAATGTTGTGAAATGATTGTCTAAGATGCCCTCAGATGGAATAACAGACAACACAGCTAGAAATATCTTAATAATCATTGTCTCTAGTGATTCAGGATAGTTTTGTTTTGTTTCGTTTTGTTTTGTTTGTTTTGTTTGAGACAGGGTTTCACTATTCAGTTCAGGTTGGCCTTGAAGAAATTTCCACTTAGCCCAGACTGGCCCCAAATTTGCAGGGATCCTCCTGCCTCAGCCTCCCAAGTGCTGGCATAAAGGCACGCACCACCATGCATGGTGATTCAGGGTAGATTTATTCAGCAGTTCAGTGAGCTCACCAAGGAACCAGTCCTTGCCACATTTTCTTCTGCTCTCTTTAGCATGCCAGACTTTTCCTTAAACTTGACCTGTCACAGCCTAGGTGGCACCAACTCTGTTCCCAGTAATTAACCAGGCTCATGAAAGTATAAGACAATCTTTTGCCTCTTTTCAAGAGCAAAAGAAACTTACCCAAAAGTTTTTCGTATTTCCCCTGCTGTTTCATAAGTAAGGTTAAATTTCACGGCCATATGTAAACCAAATGTTGCCAAGAAAAAAGAAATTAGTAGGATTGCCTTCTTAACCCTGACTCGCCTACTGAGACTAAGGATGTCCAACGAAGATCAAAGGCTTAATAACTGAATAATATTAGGGTTTTCTTGGCCAGGGGTTATGCATAGCTACTGAGTAGGCAACCTGTTCTGCTTGTCATTACTATACATTACATCATCTTTTTAAAAAATTCCAAGTGTTCAGAGAAGATTAATGCAGAAGAAATATATTTCACTGTCATTGTAAGTAATGCAAATTTGGGTCATATTGATCAAATAAACAGAGAAGATGGTAGCTTGGAAACTTACAGATTTTTTAAAAGTGTCAGAGTAAAAGTATCAAAGTAAGTAATTTCTGATGTTTAAAAACATTGATCAGCTGATAATCATTCTGCCTGCTTCAGGTTCTTTGAGCAAAGGAAAGATACAATAAAGTTAAAAACAACAATAAAAAAGTGAGTTGTTACTGTTTTTGAAGAATTCAATATTTTTAAAAGCCTCAGAGTTGTCATTATATGGAAAAATAAGGATATTATTAGCCTTTATTGGACATTTTCATTTTTTATTTTAATTTATATGTGGTACATGTGCCTGATGCACAGGACTTGTAAATGCTTTAAACTGGCCTTGACAGGTGAATTTTACTCGAAAAAAATAGAAAAAGAAAAGAAAGCATATATGATATAAACCTCCAACTCACTCTTTCAAATTATTTGTGCTTTCAGCGCTTTTTAAGCATAATGCATGGCTTCATTTCTCATTGCAGATTAAACAGAATCAAACAAATGGCTAAGAAAGATCTGTGCTGAGGCCTGGGGAGACAGATGCCATTTGACAATTACTGATTAATACCTAAGGGACGCCCAATCTTGGCAGCTATTATGATTTTCATCATACAATAGCAGTATGACAAGAATTTTTGTCAATTTTAAAAATGTAGAATTAAGGGCCAAAGAAGGCAAGTGATTTGCCAGAGTTTACAAAGCTCATAATTAGTGTAAGGAGAACTTCAATTCAGGTTTTTCTGAAGCAGAAGCTCATGAAATCTAAAGAAAGGTCTCTTCATATGTTCTTTGGTGTGGGGCCAGAATGCGGAGTGGGCATGGCTGGGACTTGAGAATGAACAGGCACAGCTGAGGAATAAGGAATGCACCATCGGGGTGGGGCTGGGGAACACATACTTCATAGTGAAGTCGCCTTTTCCCAGTCAAGTGAGATTTTCCTAACCTCACACTCATGTACAGCTGGGGGCAAAGTAGCCACCTAACTCTTAAATGACAATGGACTATTTTCTCCTTGATCATAGTCCAAATATTCTGTTTCATACATTAGAGAGAACTTATTTTTATCATGAATAAAAGCTAATAATAAGCTAAATGTCTTGAGGATTCATTAAAGTTACCATAGTGTTACCATATTTGATATCCTTTTGCAAAGTGTCTACTCTTGGAGCATTTCTTCTGCCCTCATACCGAAGTCTGGCTGGGGTAGCCTAAGTAGTTATTTGGTGTTGGTATTATCTTAGATATGTGTCACTCACAAAGATTAAGTATCATTATTACAAGTTGTTGGTCCAGATCTACCACACAGTTTCAGCTATATGACTCATGCAAGAGAGTGCAATTTCTCCTACTGCCTTACAATGATCCCCATCTTTTTCAGCAGTTCTTCTTATTCTACCCAGTACTACTCAGAAAGCATATCAAATGTCTGTCTATCTACAGAAAAACAACGCTGTTGCTGAGAAATACTTCAGCCTGAACTTACCAAGAAGCCATTTTAGTTTCAAATCAAAACTGGATATGCCTTGTAAAGCAGAGAGAGGGGCCAAAGCATGCAAGAGAATTTCCAGAGACAAAAATCAATATCATGCCTGTCCCACAATTTCTCTGAGCAAATTTAAAATTCAGGCTACCCTCTGTGCTGTGGACAATCATGGAAAAGGTCTTTGACCAGCCTAATCATGCAGACCCAGGGGAAGTACACAGGAAATAGTTTACTAAATATAATTTGTTATTTAATAAGCAACTCATTTCTCAAAAATCATTGAACTCATTTTCAAAATGGATTTTCCTACATTTAAACATAGTCCAGAGCTATCCTGAAAAATTTACTCAAACTGAACTGTACTGCTGTTTACAAAGGTAATGTAAAATTTGACTTAGGAACGTATCCCAAAAGTTCTTAGCCTGGTGTCAGATATAGACTGAAATCCAAACCATGGTTCAAATGTTTGATTCTTTATTGAATGAGTTACATAGTCTCCCTAAATCTCTTCATTTAAAATACAGAGATAATAAGATTTGACCTTAACAAGTTGCTGGTTTGAATCAATGAGATAGCACAAATAAGTATTTATAAAAGCACATGACTTGTAGGAAAGCATAAAAAGATTATAATTTTCAAAAGCAATATATTTGTGACTAAGGATTTAGCTCAGTGACAAGTGCTTGCCTAGCATGGGCCAGGCCTTGGGTTTTATCCCCAACACAACAAAAAAGAAAGAAAGAAAATCTATAGACTTAAGGACCATAAAAGGAATTATTTAAAATGTTGAACAATTTTGTAATAATGGAGACGATACCGAAGAGTTTAGATAGTTGGAAATTCTACGTAAAATACAGAACAACTACTTCTCAGACACCTGTGTCCTTTATATCTAGACCTGCGGTTTCAATCTCTACTCTAAGCTTTAGATTCTTCTATGGCCCAGAAGATCAGTCCTTCCTTAGCACATCCAAGTTGAACTCAACACCTTGTCTTCCATGCCTATGGTGACTTCCTAGCTTAGTAGAGGGACCCACTTTCACGCAGTCACAAATTCAGAAAGCTGACTGCCATCCTAAGATGACCTCTCATGCTCATGTTCTACTGTAATTACCTAAATCAAGGCTGATAGAGCTGTGGTTCTTGAATGCAGCAGAACTTCAGCATTATCTAAAATCCTTGCAAAGACGCCAAACTTTACCCCAGAAATTCTGACTCAAGGTCCACAGCGTACCATGAAAATTTGCATTAAAAAACTAAAGAAAACCTCCATCACCACTGGATACATATTGATATTTTGGAGCCACTGCCATAGCATGCCTTCCCACACCCTACACAGGTAGGATGCCTTCCTGCGACACTGTGCTCATCCCTCCACCTCACTGCAGGACCCAGACCTCAGACCTTCTACCTCTCTTGTACTGAAATCACAGTGCAGGTACACGCCCTACATCTACTCTCCTCCACTCTCCATCCCATTCAGCTAGTCTTCAAAATGCTGCCAGATCCAATTACCTGAGCTCAACTTTCAGAGAAAAAGGAGCAAATCCAAAGTCCTGCTTTATTAATTATCAGATCTACAAATGTATTTAAGTTTACCTCATCTCTATAAGACTAAATTTTATCATCAAGAAAGTGAGAACTTGTTAAATGAAATTTAGGTGTGGTAACATATGCACAAACCCTCTTAGTACAGGGTTCAGCACACTACAATATTACTAACATAGTATTTGTTATTACTCCACCAGTACAATAATATAATTCCTATGTGTCATGTCTTCTCCCTCCTACCAGACTTCCCTTAGGTAAGAAAACCCTGTGTTTAGGCCTTTTAACTCAGTTGTCTTTCTCCTAATGACCACTATCATGAGACACCTCTGATGTTATACCTGTCTGTGGTGATGTTTTTCCATTGTTCATATCTTAAGCTGCCCAAAGTACGCAGGTTAGCCAAATGGGATATATAGTCTGGCTTGGTTCCTTCTCTGCCGAGGAACAATGCATACAGCTGTCAACTAACTAGAGTCAGTGTCTTAATGCTAAATGGACTATAATACAGATATAGCTCCATTTTTATTTGAAGCATAGAAAAAACTAAAAAAAAAGTGAGATTGATTTTAGGTGGTGGGAACAGAGCTCATATTCTTTGTTCTGTTGACTGACATTTTAGAATATTTTTAAATGAACATAGTTAATTCTCAATCCAAAACATTTTTTTCTTAAAAATAAAGAGAATTAGCTTCCTGAAAAGTCACAGCACATTGTGCAATTGTTTCTGAGTCTGGGTTATCCCACCCTCACATTCTCTGTCATGAAGTTGAGATCCCATGACCCAGTAGGCTGGAGGCCTGTGGTCATCAGACCCATTAAGTAACTTTCTCAAAGTTTTCAGAGATTTGTCATTTTCCTCACTTCTTTAAAAATAAACTCTAACAAGTTTTTGGCTCTATAAACTGTCAGAAATCCAGACTTCCTCCCAGCAGTCCATTTCCATAGAATGATGTGAAACAGGACCACACAGGCAAGGGCTGGTTTCAATTGTTAGATATCGCCTGTTGTGTTCTGTCCCCTTCTCCTCCCTGATGAGATCCACAAGAACTCATCTGTAAATTGCTGTCCTTTCAGGACTTCCAATCCTAATAGGATGGCCTCCCACAATGGTGTATCCTCAACAGAAATAGTCAGGTCACAGGTGGGCACCAGCCAACTGTACCTTAGAATCCTGGCCTAAGAAGGAAATGGATGCCAGCTTGATCACATTGAACACGGGAAATATCAAAGGGCCCTATTGCTGTCTTCCAGTAGTCAGAACATTTTTATTTTCTGTTCCAAAATACTTTGGCAGCCATGTTACTCTAGAGAGCCAGGGAGGGAAAAGTCTGTTTCCGGCAGCATTACCAACAGTTTGGAGAAAACCCACTTCTTGCACCTGCACCGATAAACAGGGCTGATTGCATCTGATGGCACAGTGCCAGCCAAACTGGGATTCCCTAATGTTTCACGACTTCAGTGGCTCTTCATTCAGCACCATCTGTGAGATGCTATTGACACACGACACACCCCGAAATGCATGTGTGGGGTCCATGGTCCTTCCCACTTTCTCTCAGCTCTGCTTTGGTGAACGGGCCGATTCAGTCAAACTCATTTCCATAAAGCAATGTAGCTCTGTATGACTGTGCAGAAACCACATCAAAGGCATTAGGTGAGAGGTATCTGAATGACTGCAAAGATACTCTGACAACTGTACGATTTTCTGGAGAAATGTGACAAACGATGTTATCGAAGGTTAGATGAATTTTTTAAAAAGCTTTAATGGGGGGCACCTCAGAGGAATGTAGACTTAGGGTGGTAAAGAAATCAAAAGAAAATTGTTCACTTGGAAGTGCACTTCAGATCGTGTCAAATTAATATAGGTGCAATGTATTTTGTTGAGCCAATGCTAGACTAGTATATCTGCATAATTTTTATTTAATCTATGTATATCTCATATTTGTTAATATTTTTAAATATGTATATACCTGTAGATTGATAACTAAAAAGTATTACAAAGAGAAATCAAGAGAAGAGTAAGAAAATCCAGAGTGATTTTTTGTTCTGTAAAAGCAGACACACACTGCTTCCCTCATTCTGGTTCTGCACTTGAAAGACAGCGCTGTGGTGAGCCCCACACTCTTCACACACTGCTTTCCCAGCTGAAGCAGAAACACCCCTACCCTCTTTCCACCTCCCTCCCCTAAATGGATGCTCTATCATATGAACATTGTGTGGTTTTCTTTTTTGAATACTGACTAAATGAACAAATCAGAACTAAAGAAAATGAAAATGAAATCTGATATAAGTCCAATTAGAAAAGTATTTTTCAGAGCTAGTCAGGTGCTTGGTAGTAGCAATCTCTGTCTCCCTATTAGGCTTCCACATTGTAGCTTTTTCTTGGTCTCTCAAGGAATGCAAACAAACTCGGTGAAAACTAGCACTATTAATTACCATTCTTTATTATGCAAGACTTGAGAAACCCTAAAGATTTGCACAGTGCCTTTCTTTAAGGACACATGGCTCAGAACTCTGTCCCAGTAAACCCCTCTCTGAGATTTTGAAGGACCGCAGACAGGTTTACAGAGTAAGAAAATGAACGTTCAAAGGAACAGTGATAAAAACAATTATAAGAAATCTTTTGGGGTAGCATGAGAATTTGTCACACAAAATATAAACCACAAATACCCATAGTCTCAGCACCCTAGGAGAATCAGGCAAGATCACAACTTCAAACCAAGCCTGGGGAACAGTGATTTAGCAAGAACCTGTCTCAAAATAACAATAATTATGATGATGATGATGATGATGATGATGATAAATTTAGGAATGTAACTCAGTGCAAAGGTCCTGGGTTTAATTGCCAATACAAAGATAAAAAAAATCCACAAGAACTTGTTAGAAATGTAAACTCTTGGACCCTTCCTTGGAATTAGTGTTTCATTATTTTTGTCTTTTAGCATAATATTCAGTGGAGCTGCTGTTTGCTAAAGTTTAAGACACAGTATGCTAAAATTCTTTAAGTATCTTTACTCCCCCTTCTCAAAATCAATTTAATAGGACTTTGGATATTGGCTATGATAAGCAAAGGCCTAATCACCTCAAAAAATATGGACTCACGATCAGCTTTTCTTTTCCTTGTTTCTTTCTTTCTCTTTTTTAAAAATGATAGGCATTTCAGAAGGTACAAACTAAAGTTAATCAAGCATACACAGGAAGAGACAAAATAAGCATTTCAGTTACTGATCCGTTTGATATGAGTCAAGTGACTGTGGCTACTAAATTTTTTTTTTTAAAGTTGAAAGCAAGCAAACATAGAAGCTAGAATCTGCATTAACAAAAGCATGGTACAGTTGTAGAAAACTTCCCCGCTCAATCCTACACTCATATCAAATGTGAAACACAATCAGTTCAAAACACCACATTTAAGAAGGACAAAGGGAAACAAGAACATGTTGAATAGAAAGGGGCCATGACAGTAAAACTGAAATCTCAGGGGGGCAGGGGAGGTTACTGAAGGACTTGGAGTAGTTAAACCCTCTAATAAAGGGGTTTAGTGGGAAAAAGCTTAAATATAGGGAAGAGTGGCACATGGAAAAAAATTGGTCTACAGACAAGCATTTAAAAGTCATAGATTAAGATCCTTGAGGACTATTCAAAACCCAGAAATTTGCTATTTGAAGATTCATTGTGAGCCGAATAAGTCTAAAGACCCAATATATACCATAGAGCTATAGCTGTTTACCGTATCCAGGATTTTTGCTGAATGAACGAATTATAGCCATTCTTGCTAACAAGAAAAAAAAAATAGGTATCTATGTGAAATGATGGATGTTTGTTTCAGTGTAGGAACCATTTTACTACATACATGTAAGCAGGCTATATATTTGAAATATACATGAATTTTAATCTTTTACTTTTGTAAGATGGTTGTCAAAAATTTCAAATTATATATGCAGCTCACATTATATTTATATTAGCCTCATTCTGCGCTACACTGAGAGCATATTAGAGTTTTGTTGTTGTTGTTGTTGTCATGTTCAAAAAAGAAAGTCAAATCTATGGAATCTGAGAGTGCCAGAACTTGGCTTTTTGATCACACATGGCTGACATTAGAAAAGAAAGGCTCATACTGCCTAAGAGAGCAAGTTCACCACTGTTCCCTGCCCTCTCCCCTCTCAGCACTGCAAAGGCCTAAGCAGAGCCCTCTTCTTGGAGATGCATGGGTTCTCTGTGTGTAGACATTCGCAGACAGTGAAGTTGAGGCATTTCTGGATTATGTTCAGTAGAAGAGATATTCCTTCTCATTCTTGTTCCCTTATTTCAGGTGGAGAGTACTCCACTAGGTGTTGTTCCTTCCTATGGTTGTTCGTGCACGGGTGGAGCTTGTCACAGAGGGCATGGGGATCTTGCTCCATCCTTCCTTTGCAGGGGGAACAGCTCCATGCACTTGCAAACCTGTGACAGAAATGAAGCTACAGTTAGGCTACTTTTTCCTACCTGCACCCTACCAAATCAGACCCAAAAGTTCACAACTTGAGATTATGGCTTTAAGAAATAACCTTGGAACTTGTCATTTCTGACTGGCTCCTTTCAAGTCCTCTGAAGAATTCCTTCTTATAGGAAAGCTCTCTAAATTCCAGCTGATGAGTATTTTTTTTTCTACTCTGGTCACACCCAGTGATGTCCCAAATAAGCAGAATGGTTACAACCAGCTGATTCCCCTCCCACTGTATCTCCAGCTTTCGGTCTCAACAGAAGCAACCACATGAGCAGCATTCTGAGACTGTTAGTACGGATCCAGATTTAACCCAGGAAGCCAAAAGAATTAACATATGATGGCTGAAATTCCCTTGTAGTGTGTTATGCAACCCAGAAAGCCCAGATGCATCTCCAAATGCTCCAAAGCCCAGATGCTTCTCTGCACTCCCAAGCCCCTTCATCAAAAAGCTTGATTTAGGGAAAATTTCACACCACCCCCAAACCAAGTTTTGCAGCTAAACGAAATACAATTTGGCTTTTTTTTTTTCTAAGTCGTTTTCTTTTCACGATTTGTGCAATATATCTGCTCACTCTCCATGTACATAAAATGAAACAAAATTCTTTCCTTTACATAATCTTAAAATTCTAACACTTCAAATATTAAAATCACTTTGGTGCATACAATGAGTTTAGATCTAGACTGCATTGTCTTTTTACTTACATGATCATATTTCAACCAACTCTCAACAAGAAATGGTAAAAATAGCCAAAGGAACATGGGGTTAACAGAGAGAGAGAGAGAGAGAGAGAGAGAGAGAGAGAGAGAGAGAGAGAGAGAGAGAGAGAAAGAGAGACAGAGACAGAGACAGAGAACACAAAATAAGTATAGATTTTTGCCTAAAATTTAGGGATTTGGGCAGTTAGGGTGGATAAAAGTGAGTTTCTGGCAGTTAAATGAGTCAACAAGTTTTCCTCGTACAAAATAAAATAGGGTGTTGCAAGCAGTTTATTTTGGAGGTATATTTCCACGAATTGTCAATCACCTTCAGTTAACAGAAAATTACACCCATATATTCTTAGAAATCCCTTTGTTCTTCCCTCACTGCATAGCACTGAGTGGTAACGTTCCTCTTTGAGGTGGTGTATATTAAATACACATGACTTAATGTGAAAATGCTAGAGGGTTTCAGTACTTTTTGCATACTTTCTCAGACCAGTTATACACATATTCTTAGAAATATTTTGCAGAGTTTAAGTATTGGTTTCACACATGCTCAGACAGTTTTTTGAATAGTGAAAATATTGCCCCAACAATTAACAGCTCATTATAAGGAAGTGATTATTTTCTTAGTAGGAAAACTTACTGAAACTAGTTATTTTCAATAGCGTAACTACTTCTTTTTACTTGTTTGATTGAAATATCAAATATTGCCTAAGTTCCTTTATAAAAGATAAAGGCATTATTAGTGCTGCAGAAATTAATTTTTAAAAGCTTCAATAAGATATAGGAAGCAATATATATGTAGAAAAATTTGTACTATACAAAAATAGAATGGTGTGTAATAATATTAACTTTCAATGTCAATTGTTTAAAGCATAAATTTTCACATTCATATTTTCTGTTCTCATAAAGATTTTAGTATTCTCTCTTTTCAATTCCTATGAGATGACTTAAGAATGTTTCTTCCAATTTAACATGGTCAAGTGCAAGTTTAGAGATATTAAGTAATCTTACCAAAGCAATAGAGTGCTTAATCAGGGACAAATCCTACCACTTATTTCACTAGTCAATGAAAATTTATAAAACCGTGAAGTGTCTGCATGCTGTACATGAATCTTACAAATTGGATTATCATACGCTTCTACCGTTTTGCTACTTTAGAACTTAACACATCACTTGAACATGGTCCAAAGGAAACTTAACAGAGAATACATTGTCTAATAACATTTATGTGAGCTGTGCTATAAATAATCACCAGCAGGACAATCCTCGAAGAGAGAGCACATTATTCCCATTTTACTGATAACAAAATCAAGATTCAAAGAGCTAAATTTAAATAAAGTGATTACAAAGGAAATGGAATCTGGCTCTCATAAATGGCAGAGATAGCATCTTTGCCCCTCCTAAATCTATCAAGTGAGGCTGTAAAGTGCCAGGTCATTTTCTAGCAGCCAAACCACTTCAAAGTAAGCAGGCCACAAAATGAACACCAGAGCTGCACTGTAGACAATCTAGAGAATTACTTGGTTGAATCAAATTAACTGCTACATTTAAAAATTTTTGAAAACTTTTCTATGAGAAATATAAGAAACAAAATAAAAGATAATAGAAAGTAAGGGATAGATTTTGTCCAAATGGGGACAAGAGATGGAAGAAAGGAGAAAAGAATAAAAATTAAGGCATGGGATGTACATGAGCCAACTTTCCACAAGCAATGTAAACATGCATTGCAAATGTACTAATAAAGAATAAAAACAGAAAAATATGAAATAATTAAATGCTTATAATGTCACACAAAAATTATTAGGAGTTTTTATTCTCAGAGGCAACCACTGTGAATGAACAGTGATGTTGTAGGTCTTTTGAAGACTAACAATCCAAAACGAGTCCTATTTAGGCAAAATGTGCTTTTGTGCGCATATTTGGTTACTAGAACATCTGCACTGCTTACGACTGTGCCTCATCCTTTCTCCTGACTACTGGCTGCTTATAGTACTGTCTCTCACACTGATGCAGAGTGACAGCCCAAATCCCTACTTAGCACTGCTTTTGCTTGGTGGAATAAAATGTATTAATGTATTACCAAACAATATCAAACTGCATTGAAGAATATAAAGGCAAGTAAGCAGCACCGAGTATAAATAATTATTCATATTTTAACACCCAGTCCAGAATTGGGCTTCAGTAAATATTTGTAGAGCTGAAGCCAATAATATCAAAAATGATATTCAAAGGAAATTTTTCCTTTGAAAACGTTATGTAGTCGTGTACAAAATCTACAGTGACTAACTGAAAATTGAGTGTTCCTTTGTTTAGAACCATTGAAATTGTTGAAGATGTATGGACACCCACATCTGATGAACAGACTAAGTTCCAGAGAAACAATGCCATGAACTCAAAATGCCAGACTCTCGATTCAATGTTCTTTCACATTGTAGCTTGGAGATGCCACTCATTATCTAAACACATTGACAAATATGTGACTAATACAAAATAGATTGCCGGGTACTTATATATTTAGGCTGGCTCATTCAGATGCTTTAAAACTCCTCAATACTTTTAACCTTGGCCTCTGAGTCATGAAACAGGTTCTAATCCCCCTCTCTCTTTCTTCCCTCCTGTCCCCCAGCATGCACGTTGCTATGCTTTCCAGACTGGTCTCAAACTCCCAGTCCTCCCATTTTAGTTCCCCAAGTAACTAGGATTATAGTTGTGTGTCACCACACCCAACTTCTCGTCTCAAATTTGAGCTAGTTATGCGATACCAGTCATTTTACTAGAATTACCCTTCTAAACCGTGAAATGAAAGGCCAAACATATATGTTACATTGAAATTGATCAACAAAAAAGTCCAACTAACTTATCTCTTACAACTAGAGTCTAGAAAGAGACATGGTTCAGGTATAGCATGATCCAGTGGCTTGAATCATGCCACCAGGACCTAATCTTCCTTCTGTCTACTCCGTTCCTCTGTATTGGCTTTGGTTTCAAGGCCCACATGTCACAGCTAACTGTCAGCTTCTCTAGGTCTACATCTTCCCAAATTCAGTTCCTCTGAGTCAAGCAAAACCCACTCTACTGGACAAACTTATCTCCTAGGTCACTTATATATGCAATAATTAATTGTGTGTGCTCCTTTTAGTGTCTATCTTAGCTAAGAAGAATACACGAACTGTTTTTGAAGAAGCTTAGCACTGATTTCTGAGCACCAGACATTTGTTATGCATAACTGCCGTGGCTTGAATTCTGTCTTGCAGCCAGTACTTCAGCTCTGCCTGACTGTAATTTCCTTTGGGTATTGAGCCATCATGTATTATCTTGTCTTTGCTTCAGATTCCCTTACCCTTCCTTACATCCTTGGAAAATGCTTATTGACTGACCCAAACATCACTTTCCCTGGAAACTCTTCCCTGATTACTGCCTTTCTCTCTAGTGAAACTGACTACTGCATCGTTCTTAGACCTTCTTACGTCTCTCAACTGGACCAACAGTATCACATAGTATTTCTTTTTTACATGTCTTCTCTCAAAGACTGTAGGCATTGAATGGCAGGAACTATGTCGTCTTTGTGTCCCCAAAGTCAGATTCAGGGTCAGAAATGGCAGTCATCCCATCAACTACTGCAAAAGAATTAGTCGCATAATCAATGAAACCTAGTTTCTCCTACCTGGAACCTACTGACTCTCCCTCTCACCTAAAACATGATTGCAAATAATAGATCTCTCTCCCATAGCCTACTCCAACTACTTGGTAATAACAAGTGGATTTATATTCTTCCATTTTAACAAACTAGAGCTGATCTTGTCCTTACTTTCTAGCTATTGTTCAGACAAGAGTGTTTATTTGGTTTTTATAAAATGGGTGAGAATCTGTTATCACTAAATCTGAAGCACCTATGTGCTTCCCAAAACTTACATGATCATATATGGTCATTGCACTAACATTTCTTGATAAGATTACTGGAATTTTTTTAGCAGAATTGTTGATTGTGTAACTAATTAATAATTGTCACCCATGGTGGTTAATTTGATAAAAAGAGTCTTTGTTTCATAAATTCAGTGTAGAGTCATAATATTCCTACTATTCTTTTATTAGCATGGGTTTGCCACTGATTACTATATTAAAGGAGTATACAGTGAAAACATTAGAGGGCTACAGAACAGGAGCTGAAGTGGGTCTACAATTCTGTGTACACCATCTGTCCCTCACTCCATTATTTTTTATTCAAGGAAGAGAAATATTAAAAGAGGAGCCT